CATAAAAAAAGTAGCACAGTGATATGAAAACCGCATATTTGTATCTCTACCTATAAGCGAGATACCCTGTAAAACACACGAAAATGGGACATCCTGTACCGAGTAAAGTAGGCAGGTATTAAAATTACTATATTAAACAGGTTGCCTCGTAACTTTTGCACCAATAGGAGCGAAGCGCCAAGCGTCACAGGTATGCTACAGAACCTATAAAATCATAGTTTATGGAATAAAAAATAAAATGCAACGGACAAAAAGAGATAAATGAGCAATGTAATGAATGTAATAAAGAAAACAAACGTCAAACAACTGAAAACTATGGACGCGATACACAATGAATATCGATTCGAAATGCACTGTCGGACTATCGGCAGTTTTTATCCCTTTATCTATGATCGACCGTATACCTGTGGCGTAGTCGATGACGTTTCCGATAATGGCCGATCGAGTTGCGAGACAACCTTATCTTTTAATAACCTTGGGCAGGTATCGGCTAGTCATCAAATACTCTAGCCTCTAGTTCACACTGTCTTCCCTACGATATTCACAATCTGCGCTGTAGCCGATGTGATATCGAGGTTAGGCGGTTCGTGGTTATGTTCAGCAATTATGGTGACCGTTTTTCCTGATGTGGACAATCTTGACTTGCAAGCGTGCTTTGCATATGTACATCTCCAAGTTGTTCTTTTCCCGTACTTCTGGTGTAAAATGTAGCTATTGCCCCATAATATTATTTTCGGGTGCTTAATCCCAGGTATTATGTAAATGGTACCTAAAACAGTGAATTACAATATTCCAAACATAAATAATTTAATGTTAGAATTATACAAGGTCAATGCAAATAAATAGAGAGGTCTATTTTTCCTACTAACTATTATATTAACTATGATACACTCAGATGCAAAAAAAACGCAACGGAGAAATTTTTCGTCAAATTTAAAGTGTTATATTTTTGTTATTTTTTGCTCTCTATGAATTTTTTAGCAAATTGTATATAATTATGTCAACTTTAATTCGAAAATTCATTTTTTTATAAACTTTAGTATTTTGAATATTATACAGAGTTAAACGAGGGGTTGTTTTTTTACCTTGACTTTAAAACACCCTGTGCAATAATTTCGTGTGTAAGTTTCCCTAAAATATAATTTTATGGACAGAACCATGTCTCCTGAGCATTTCGTTTTTTGGGTCATGTCAATACATGCCTTGGTTAATTTTTAAGAGTGAAATGAACTTGCCAATGAACAATTTGCAATTTTTTCAATTACCATTTCATTTTGAAGTTATTTTTCAATATGACTATGCGGCTTTGGTGATTATTGTGAACGGATATATACTACTATGAACTGCCCATCATGTTCGACGTTTGGGAAATGCTGGGCAGGAGGTTTAGAGGTCGCGAAGCGTTACCAGCTTCATTAAATCAACTTCGCTTGGTTCTTAAAGAAGAATGGGAAAGCATACCGCAATATGATATATGCAGCCTCAATGACAGTTTGAATGGACGTATACAAGCAGTTCTAGCAGCCAAGGGAGGCAATGCAAAGTATTATGATTTTCAATACTAAAATTAAAAATTCATAGGTGTGAGTCACTTTCGAGACCGGTGTAGAAAAAACAACAATCGCAGACTAAGATTGAACGCAGAGAAGAATTTTGAAGTAACTTTAAGTGAAAATTTATTGTTAAAGTAGCATAAATATGCTTAGTTTGTAGTTAAAGTATAGGACTGAAGGAAACAGAGAGTTATAGTAACTGTTAAGAAGAAGGGGGTGGCAATGGATAGGGTACTCGCCCGGTCTCAATATTTCCTTCCGCCGGCACTGCATTTTTGTATGAAATACACATAAAAACAATAAACTAAAATCGGAAATAATATGCATGTACTGATTTCTTTCGAAAATCGACAACTATGAAACTTCCATGAACCCTTCAGTACAAACGGTACATTGTAGGATTGGGAAATTGTAGAGAGAAACAAGCCCTATAACATAGGATACAACATTTTAATGAACATTGCTTTCCATAAAATGAAAAATAAATAGATGAGAACAATGTGTTGCCGACAGATTGCCCTAGACTTGTTTATTCGGTGCTGCCAACGCAAAAAAGACGCTAAGCAAACTTTATCCTATGATGTATGTTTAAGTATTTGTTTATTGGCAAGAAAGCGTATCGGCTTTCTGTTACAAAGTACTGATTGACCCTTCGATTTTGCGCCCCCAAAATGTTGCGCCTATGTGCGTGCACGCACTGCACGCTCGCTAGGAACGGCCCTGCTTATACTGTTTGCGACAAATTGGACAGTTGTACTGGGGTTCAATGCCGCACTCGTATTTTTGATGCCTCCGCAAATTTCTTTTGTGCTTGTATGATTTGTAGCAATTTTGACATTGGACTTTTTCATGTTCTATAAGTAAATTTATTGGTATTTATTATCTATAATAAAGTGATTATAAAGTATAAGTATATAAATACACTCAAATTCAAAAAAGCGCAACGGAAGTCTTTTTCGTCATATTTTAAAAATTCATATATATTATGTAAGAGTCACATACACAAGACGTCATATATATAAGAATTATTTTTTTTATATTTTTAGCTCTATTTTTATGATTTGGATTCACAACCAACGAAAAACTAGTTACACCACTGGATTCTACGTGAAAATGTCTACTGGGCTCAGTTTTCACCTTTTCGATAAGTTATGACATAACCGAGATATGAACGGTGTCGAAAAATGCAAAATTTTCAATTTCGCCCTGTATTTCAGGAAGAGGGCTAGGACAAATCTGATAACATCTTTAGTGTCATAGAGAGTAGCACAGTGATATGAAAACCGCATCTTTGTATCTCTACCCATAAGCGAGATACCCTGTAAAACACACAAAAATGGGACACCCTGTACAGAATAAAGTAGGCAGGTATACAAATTACTATATTAAACAGATTGCCTCGTAACTTTTGGACCAATAGGAGCGAAGCGCCAACTACGTCACAGGTATACTACAGAATGTATAAAATCATAGATAAAGGAATAAAAAATAAAATGCAACGGCCAAAAAGAGATAAATGGGCAATGTAATGAATGTAATAAAGAAAACAAACGTCAAACAACTGAAAACTATGGACGCGATACACAATGAATATCGATTCGGAAATGCACTGTCGGACTATCGGCAGTTTTTAGCCCTTTATCTATGATCGACCACATACCTATGACGTTGATGACTTTCCCAATAATGGCGTATCGAGTTACGAGACAACCTTATCTTTTAATAACCTTGGGCAGGTATCGGCTAGTCATCAAATACTCTGGCCTCTAGTTCACATTGTCTTCCCTAACGATATTCACAATCTGGGCTGTAGCCGAGGTGATATCGAGGTTAGGCGGTTCGTGGTTATGTTCAGCAATTATGGTGACCGTTTTTCCTGATGTGGACAATCTTGACTTGCAAGCGTGCTTTGCGTAATGTGTACATCTCCAAGTTGTTCTTTTTCCGTACTTCTGGTGTAAAATGTAGCTATTGCCCCATAATATTATTTTCGGGTGCTTAATCCCAGGTATTATGTAAATGGTACCTAAAACAGTCAGTTACAATATTCACTATTGGTATTACATGTACATTTTCTTGGCAGTCGCTGGCAGTCATATGCAGTCTTCTGCGCAGTCATTGGCAGTCGCTTGGAAGTAGAATGATATTTTGGCAGTGCATGTACATTTTTTACCCAAGTGAGACACCCCTCGCAATATTCCAAGTACAAAGAGAATTTAATGTTAGAATTATACAAGATGAATGTAAATAAATGAAGAGGACTATTTTTGCTACTAACTATTATATTAACTATTATACACTCAGATGCAAAAAAACGCAACGGAGAAATTTTTGGTCAAATTTAAAGTGTTATATTTTTGTTATTTTTAGCTCTATTTTCATGAATTTTTTAGCAATCTGTATATAATTATATCAACTTTAATCCGAAAACTCAGTTTTTTAGAAAATTTAGTATTTGGCATATTATACATTAGGGTTAAACGAGGGGTTGTTTTTTACCTTAACTTTAAAACACCCTGTGCAATAATTTCGTGTGTAAGTTTTCCTAAAATATAATTTTATGGTCAGAACCATGTCTCCTGAGCATTTCGTTTTTTGGATCATGTCAATACATGCCTTGGTTAATTTTTAAGAGTGAAATGAACTTGCCAATGAACAATTTGCAATTTTTTCAATTACCATTTCATTTTGAAGTTATTTTTCAATATGACAAGGCGGCTTTGGTGATTATTGTAAACGGATATATACTACTATGAACTGCCCATCATGTTCGACGTTTGGAAAATGCTGGGCAGGAGGTTTAGAGGTCGCGAAGCGTTACCAGCTTCATTAAATCAACTTCGCTTGGTTCTTAAAGAAGAATGGGAAAGCATACCGCAATATGATATATGCAGCCTCAATGACAGTTTGAATGGACGTATACAAGCAGTTCTAGCAGCCAAGGGAGGCAATACAAAGTATTATGGTATTTTTACTTTTTTTTCTGTTTGCCTACTTGAGTATTAACAAATAAAAAGTAAAAAGAAAATTGTTTTGCTTGTCGTAAAGGGTTTTTTTCTCCACTTTCGATTTTTCGAAATCAGAAAAAATACACAGCTAAAGGCAAGAAAATATTATTTATTAATATACACTAAAGCTGTAAGAATTTTATTCATTTCATATATGTATATGAGCGGGCCGAAAAACGCTCTTTACCATCTTATGACGGGAGATGCACTAATATCTCACCGACACTTTACGAGATCGTCTGTTGATATTGAAAAAGTTTTGCTTGCCGTATCGGTGAGAACCAGCCCCTGGAGAGCCCACCTGATGAAGGGTAGGCCCAGAAACCGGTTGTGGGAGTAGGGCTTGGTTCCCCCCTTTACGACAAGCAAAACAATTTTCTTTTTACTTTTTTTTTCTCTACTTTCGATTTTTCGAAATTAGAAAAAATACACAGCTCAAGGCAAGAAAATAGTATTTATTAACGAAGAAATATATCGTTTTAAATGTTTGTGCACAGTGCAGTAGGCAGGTAACTCTGGACTCTAGATCGGATTATCTTCCCTAACGATATTCACATTCTGTGCTGTGGCCGAGGTGATATCGAGGTTAGGCGGTTCGTGGTTATGTTCAGCAAATATGGTGACCGTTTTTCCTGATGTGGACAATCTTGACTTGCAACCGTGCATTTTTGCATAATATTTACATCTCCAAGTAGTTCTGTTCTCGTACTTCCGGTGTAATATGTAGCTATTGCCCCATAATATTATTTTAGGGTACTTCTTGCCAGGTATTACGTAAATGGTACCTAAAACAGTCAATACAGTATCTAAAACAGTCAGTTACAATATTTCAAATTCGTATTTATTACCTATTATTTATAAATGTATTATTTTTTATTTTATTTGTTTTTGTTAATAGCTTTCTCAAAAAATAGACTATACTCTATATACATACTTTCATAAATAAGGTAAAAGAATGCATTAACTTTTTAACAAAAGTCAACCTGTACCGGGTGTGTCTCAAAAATGGCTCACCCCTATAACTTTTTTTATTTTTTCAGTTAAAAAAACTAGATTTAGTATGTTAGTATAAAAAATAAATTAAGATTGATTGACGTATTCAATTGTTTTCATGTACTTCCTGTTTTACCGGAAATGGCTACAACTATTGATTTTTAAATAGAACCCTCGGTATTTTTTCACTTTATTCAATAGAAAATGACAACCTGAATAGACTGACATATCATATTATGTTAAATTTTAACATTTTTGCATATGGTTTATTGGAAATTGTAACATGCGGTTCATAACGACAATTTGACTCGAAATACCAAATATAAGATACCAAATTATTCGTAAAAAAATGCTTTTTCTCAATATACTATTGAGCCACCCTCGTTACCTTTGAAAACATTGAGATATGATGAAAAATACAATTTGGGCATCTTTTAATCGGCTAGGACAATACAAGAAACACAATAGTAAATTTTTTTCCGAGGATCCTTGATTAAAACTTATTAGTGTTTTTAACACAGCCATAGCACTCTAGATTGAAATTTAAAATACGACTTTTTTTAAGCGTAAGTGTTAAAAGTTGACATATGATAAGCCGTTCTATTCAAAATGTCATTTTCTATCGAATAAAGTAAAAAAATTGCCGCCGGGGGGCACGTATAAATATAACCATAGGCACCCATACTAAAATATGTTAATAAAAAGTTGGTAGGCAGTTCTTTTAGTTTCAAAGTAAAGGAATTTTTCCAATTTTGGTCCGCGTTTATTTCTCCTATCCGCCACCTGGGGTCGCGTCCGTTGGGAGTTTGGAGTTTTCCACACGGATTTTCTCAAAAACGGACTACGGAAACACCGAATATCTCAAAAACTGCGACTTTGACTGATTTTGATGTTATTACAAATTTTGTTGCAAATATTATTCCTAATCTTAAATTGAAAACCGCGTTTCGCTATCTACTATAATTTTAGAGTTACGATTTTTTAAAATTTTTAACCCCCTCCCAAGCCCCCTTACCAGCCCCGCACCCCCACCAAAAACTAATGGCCAGATTCTCGGGTGCCACAGTATTTTTGTGCCAAATTTGGTTAAAATCGGTTTAGCGGTTTTTGAGTTATCGTGTTACAGACGGACAGACGGACAGACAGACACCATGAAAATATTTAGTATTTAGGTCATTTATGACCCAAATAACTAACTCATTTTGAGTGAAATTAAAAAAACTTTTTTTTTGCCGATCTTAACTGTGTCACAAAATACCGAGGGTGCCATTTAAAAATCAAAAGTTGTAGTTATTTTCGGTGAAACAGGAAGTGATCAAAACGAATTGAATACTTACATTGTATTATTTATTACTTTCTTTTAATTTTTTAAATAAAATACAGCGTGTTGCATATAAGAAACTTTATTTTACATAAGGACATGTATGATATACCTGGAACATTGGACACCGACGTTATGCCACGATTCACGATGGTTTTTGCAGTTCACAGATCACAGCTTTATAAGTTTTTAATGCCACTTTTTCACAATTCTCACGGGTTTGAGTAAATAAAATTTAAATTAAACTCACAAGAGATAGCAATATATTGTTTCCTTTAACTATGACTTATAGGGAGAGGGGAGGAGGTGTATAAATATATGTGATATGTTTAAAGGTACATTTCAAATGTTTGTACAGGGTGTCCCACTAAGAATAGCTCTCGGCTGTATCTCGGAAAGTATTAGCCGTAGCTGCTGCGGAAAAAAATACTTATAACTAAAGAAGCTATAGGAAATTGTTGGAAATTATTTTCAAGTTTGTAGAACGACCGCTAGGGGGCGCAACTGCAACAAATAATAAGAAAATGGAGTTTTATACAACTTTTCCTAGATAAGGTATACTATAAGTAACAGCTTCATAATCTTCAGTAAATTTTGAATATTTTTTGTTAGAGCCATTTTCCCCTATCTACTAAAATAAAGTGGTGGTGGAAGGTTAGATCTTCTTTTTTTTTTGAATGTTAATAACTCCGGAATTGATGATCGGAATCCAACAAGCGAGGGCTCGTTTATAAGAGCGTTTTTTACTCTATATTGTACCATATAAACAATAATAATAAGCTTTTGAACGTAGAAGCATAGTGGGCGGTATCTTTTACAATTTAACAAATATTGCGCGTTTTTCAAAAAAATTAAATGCAACAGTATATGTAATTTTAGCTGATAGTAAAGAGTAGTAAAAGCTTAAAAAATCAGCGAAAACCGCATCCTGATATCTTCTTTCAAACCGAAGATATTAGCAAAATTATAATAAATACCAAAAAAAAGCCCTTAATTACCTTATTTTTACAACACGGTATCAGTAGTCCTCTTGATTATGCCCATTCTAACCTCAAAATAAGATAGAAATAGTTAGTTTATTTTAAAATCGACGATATACCAGAATATCATAATATCAGATGTATTAATATCTAATAATAATTAAGATATTAATAATAGTGAACATTGGAAAAAAGTTGCTTTTGACGTAATAGTATAAACATCAAATTGTTATTAGATCAACACTTTAATAGTCTTAACAGCGTTTTTTATCTTTTGATTGCTTTTTCAAAATGCCAACAACTTCAACTACTTCAAATAATAAAGGCATTTTGAAACATCATTTAAAAGATAAAAAACGCTGCTAAGACTATCAAAATGTTGATCTAATAACAATTTGACGTTTATACTATTACGCGATAAGCAACTTTTTTCCAAAGCCTACCATGACTTCACTGAATCATCGTTTCTTGTTCGCTATTATTAATTTCTTAAGCTATTAGATTGTAAATACATCTAGTAATATGATTCTGGTATTTCGTCAATTTTAAATTAAACTAATTGTTTCTATCTTATTTAAAAGTTACAATGGGCCTTTCAATAGGGCTACTGATACTGTATTGTAAAAGTAAGGTGGATAATCATTTTATTTTTTCGGTATTTATTATAATAATCTTAATATCTTCGGTTTGAAAGAAGATATGAAGACCATGGTATCTAGGCAATGATTTTAAGATTTTACTACTCTTTACTATCAGCTAAAATATCACATACTATCGTATTTAATTTTTTGAAAAACGCTTATTTGTTAAAAAGAAATAAACCAAATGTCTACGTTCATCCACGTTATTATTAACTTACCTATATAAATATAGGTATTATTTCTCTTGTCTGACTAGCCCTGGTCTTACTTGGATTAAAATGGTTCTAACAAAAAATTAAAAATTTACTGAGGATTATGAAGTTATTATTTATAGTACCCATTATCAATAAAAAAATTCTGTAAAAATCTATTTTCTTATTTTCCATAGCAGTTGCGCCATCTAGCAGCCGTTTATAACAAATGAAAAAACAATAACCGGCAATTTCTCATTGCCCTTTAGTTATAAATATTTTTTTCCGCAGGTTTTACGGCTTACTTTCCGAGATAACAGAAGAGAGCTATTCTTAGTGGGGAAACCAGGTACAGAAAGGCGAAATAAGCAGGTATCGGTCATTAAATACTCTGGACTCTAGTTCACATTGTCCTCCCTAACGATGTTCACAATCTGCGCTATTGCCGAGGTGATATCGAGGTTAGCCGGTTTGTGGTTATGTTCCGCAATTATGGTGACCGTTTTTCCTGATGTAGACAATTTTGACTTGCAGCCGTGTTTCACATAATATGTACATCTCCAAGTTGTTCTATTCTCGTACTTCTGGTGTAATATGTAACTATTGTTCCATAATATTTTTGGGTACTTCTTGCCGGGTATTACGTAATCGCGGCCAGAGCTTTATGGTTGAAATATGGCAACCTCGGCCCGCTCGTCGAGAGACGACGCACACTGGCCGAATTTGATCAAATCATGGCATAAATATTGTTAAGGTCAAGGTGTATTACTGGTTGCATAACTGCATTACTGCATCATAACCGCAACGTGCATTGAGGAACCTGGCGAATTCGACAGAAAGTAAAAGAAAATTACAGAATTCTTTAGAAAATTCCAGAAACCATCGCCAGGGGGTATATAAGGCCCTCGCTTTGACAGTTGGACCAGTCTGAAGATAGTCTGAAGTCTGAAGTTTGATAATACCGCGAAATACCGTTAGAGTAATAGTAGTTGCATAAATTGTGTTGTAAATAGTATAAGTTTTGTGTACAGAGTGAGACAAATAAATTCGTTAAGTATTTTATCGTGAGTTTAAATAGTGGACCCACGGAATCCGTAACAATATTAACTGTAATATTTAATTTTTTTTAATTTAATATTTACTTTTAATAATTGGTCACAAAAATGTCAATGTTGATACTCTACTATTCCAGCAGACTAGTTACACATGATTTTGACACGATAAATGATTGATTTATTGTTTTAATTTAGGTCAAAGTTGATTAAAATCGTTGGCAAGTTTTAAGCGTGTAGTTAAATAGATATACATTTGATATGTTCAAAAGTATTAAAAAGCTTTATTTTTAAAAAATTTTAAAACTACAGTTATGGAATGGGGCTACTGAGCTATAGACTTATTTAATTCAAAAAATGATAGTATAAGTCTGTAGTTTTTAAAATCATATGAGATAATTAGCTAGGTAATATTATGTTCATAAAAGTGAATTATTAAACTCACAAAATACAAACAGCATTTTGTTTGTGTTTTCACTCTATGAATTATGTGTGTTTTCACCATATTTCCAATGTCACATATTTTTTTCTATATTATTCAATGCCTTTCTATATAGTATCCACCAAAAAAGGTTGCCCGAAGTTGCCCGCAATAAAATTATACAGTGTAATCTAAAGTCTTAGTTTCGACTAAGTTATGCAATATTAGTTAGATTTATCTGCATTCAAAATTATTTTAGAATTTTTTACTGTAGACATATTGTAAAAAGGCCAAAAGAGCTAATAAAACGTGCAAACAAATATGGTTATGTTAAAATCAGATAAACATTTTCCTAAACCTCTTTAACATTGCTTTATTAGCTTTGGACTATTAATATAGTGGAGTATGGTAAATGTAAACAATACAGAGGATATTTACATACATTTATTTTTTTTTCTTTAGACAAAAGGGTATTAATTTTTCCTGTTAAACGTAAAACTGTTAAAATTCAAAATATTAGGAACATCATTTTATAAATTTATTTTTCGGTATTACCATTTTGTGTCAAATATTGTTAAAACTAGAATTAGTAATATCATAAAAATTTAAACATCTAAAAAAGTCGGGATCGTATCTCCACATTCCACCCTAGCATATGCTATTATTTCTTCCTCAGTGGAAGAATCTATAATTAAAATTTAGTTCATATAAACGGTATTCTGATTAGCCTAGGTTACCCCCTCGGTTACCCTGTATAATACAATTTCTGTTAAATATGAAACTAAAACAAAATCAGTTTATATATTTAGGTAAACTATGTTGATTTTTTATAGTTTCAATAAAATAAAACGCGTAACTCTATTTATGCCATGATTTGATTAAATTCGGCCAGTGTGCGACGCGACGCGCTGGGACGAGTCGGCAGATTAGCTTAGTACTCATTTGGAATGTAGGCAGTATTGCCATTCTGTTCCCCAATAAGTAACCGTCCAGTTAACAATCTGTATGTACGATTCTATTATTTTTAATACGGTTTTGTTAGGTTTAAGTATGTATGTTCAGGGTGGGTCAAATTGGACGCTTTTAAAACTAGGAGACTAATATCGGTGTCTGGAGCTCAATTTTTATCAAAAACGTGATGGTGAAAACCGCACATCGATATCTGTTACCGTTTCGGAGTTACGGGGTGTTTTTCAAAAATGTGCATTTTAAACAAATCCCTGTAACTTTTTTGCTATGGAAAATTTTGTATTTTTATGAAAACATTTCCAAAGCACCTATGTACGCAGAATTTAATGGTTAAAGTATAACTTATTTAAATTAATAATTTAAGAGTTATAACAGAAAAATTGATTTTTTATAGGAACACCCTGTATATTTTTATTTAAGTGAAAAGAACTTAAAATTACCTTTCCAAAAATATAGTAGGTACACTTGATATTTTGTTATAATCCCGTTCGAAATACAGAATTTTTAAAAGTTAGCCACTTTTAATTAGTAGGTTTTTAAGTACCCTTATTGATGGTCTGTCCCTAATGGAACTCGAAAACATATTTTTCCAGCAATACGAGCCACCGCTTCAAAACGCTGAAGTTATCAGCAAAATTTTGGAGCCAATTTGGAGAATAATTGAATAGCTATCCAAGATACTATCTAGACAAGTATTAAAATGCGAGTGTTATGCGAGGGTATCTTTCACCCCCACTGAGTTAATGAATTCCGCGAGAAATGTTCAAAAACGGTCCCGTCTGTCCTTAACGGAAGACGGTCGATATGTCGTACACCTATAGCAAAATCTTATGTCTTGGTTTGCTATTTATTTTTATTGTTATTAGATATAGTTTAATTGTGTTGTTGTTAAATATAGCAATTGTTATAAAAATTCTGCACCTCTCATTGCAAATATTATTTTAGTTTTAGTTGCTGCTTACAGCTAGAACTTTTTTGCATTACAGCCGGCGCGGTTCAAAGCCTACTTATTCAAAGTGGGCGAATTTTTATAAACTGTATATCTCGAAGAGGAATCGAGCAAAATATCAAGTATGCTATATTTTGAAAAGGTAATTTTAAATTATTTTCAATGAATTAAAAATATACAGGTGTCCCATAAAAAATAAAATTTTCTTTTTTCTGGTAATTCTTAAATTATTAATTTAAAAAAATATACTCACAACCAAACCATCAAATTCTACGTAAAAAGGTGCTTTGAAAATGTTTTCATAAAAATTCAAAATTTTCCATAGCAAAAAGATTACAGCGATTTGTTAAAAATGCACATTTCTGAAAAACACTGTAACTTCGAAACGGTAACAGATCCTCATAACAGAACCATCTTGTTTGTGATAATTTCTAAATAATTGAGGTCCAGACACCGATATTAGTTTTCGTCAATCTTCTATAGAAAAGGGTGTTTCCCTTTAAAAGCGTCCAATTTGACCCACGCTGTACATTGTACATATCTATGTAACACAATTTTTTTGGAATTTATTTTCACCCACTTTAAGAGCCAAAACACACGCCGCGGCTTTTGAGCAAAACTTCTGGTTTCAAAATTGCAATTTCAAATGTGCCATCTCTCGTGGAGAGATTCCTAACGTAAAAGTAGGATTTATTTTTCATATCAACAGAGGCCCAATTCTGCTTTGTTTCTTAGCTACTGGGTGTTAAAATCTTAATACTTTTTCGATTAATTATAATTTTCTTTCAAGTACATTTAGTGATTCTGATTCTGATGAAATTTTGAGGGTAAAAGTTACTATAAGTGCTACTCACTTAATGCTAAAAAAGTGTCGGTAAATTCATCAGGAACGTTATCAGATGGGTTATCACTGGAATATTTTTAGTCAGTTAAAAGTTATCTCTTGATATTTTGTCGAATTCGGCCTCCTTGATGAGATAAACGCAATTTTATTAATGACAATTAACAAAATTAATAGAAAAGTATATTTTACCTAATTTATTATTAAATATTATTACTGTTAGTTATTATTACCATTAGTCATACCTACAGCAATTTCAAATAAAAAAATAGTGGTATTTAAGATAATTACATAAAGCCTAATTTTAAAAAGTTTTAACATCCTGTAACTCTAAAGCTATGCATTTCCATACTCATTTTTATAGGAACTTTTTTTCATATTTTTTGATGAGAAATCAATGAGTACCTACTTATTTGAAACACTCGCAAGTTAATGATCTTAAAATTTTTTAAAGGTTGCTATTAGACTTGGATCAAAGCAAATTAATAAAATTGCGTTTATTTCATCATGGAGGCCGAAATCGACAAAATATCAAGAGATAATTTTTAATCGGCATTAAACTGCTTACACTATTTCGCTAATAAGAGAAAAAAAAGTCAGTGGCGTACATGCTTTTTTAGAAAAATATTCCAGTGATAACCCATATGTACGTCCCTGGTGAACATGTCGACACTTTTTTAGCTTTAAAATATGTTACATTAATAGTAACTTTTACCCTCAAAATTTCATTCGAAAGTACTTGGAAGAGAATTATAATAAATCGAAAAAATATTAAGACTTTAACACCCTGTACCTACGAAACAAAGCAGAATCGGACCTATGTTGATATGAGAAATAAATTTTATTTTTATATGAAGAATCTGCCCAAGAGAGATGGCCACATGTTTTCCCTGTAGATTACAAAAGTTAACAATTTTTTTGCTCTAAGTTCATACCAGAAATGTTATAGTTATAATCTACCTATACAATATCAATTTAACTGTCTATTTACCTAGTATTTAACTACAATATTAACACTTTGTGGTACTGCCGAACTGGTGTCAGGGTACGTCGGTTCATGATTATGACCAGAAGTTATAGTGACCGTTTTTCCCGATGTTGTAATTTTAGACGTGCAACCGTTTTTAGGATAACTGTTGCATCTCCACATTGTTTTTGTAACTAATTTCTTGTTTATGATGTAGTCGTTGTTCCATAGAATTATTTTCGGGTATTTCTTGCCAGGTACAATATAAATAGTACCTAAAAAATAATTAAATAAATTACATTACATTAGTCTATTAGCTTTTAAACACATAGTCACAGCTTTTAAATTTTGGGTTTTAGGTAGCATTAAGCTTATAATTGATGGAAAAAAATTAAAATTTTTAAATATCCTTATGGATTAAAAGTGAGCTGTCTAACCGCTGCCGGTAACTGACTTTGCAGTCGACAAAAAGATAAAAAACATTAATCGATCTGATATTGTCTGGTTTTATTTGTATATAAATGTAACAACAATAATTCGAAATTTAGGAATTAATGCTAATCAAACTTCTTTAATTTCTACTTCTAGAAATTAAAAATTAATTGCAACTTCTAGAAGTTTCGCAAAGTTCAAATTTTGAATAGCAAATTTCAGGTAACTTTTCTTTTTTGTTTTTAACTTACTTACTGCCATTACTCGCTGACGAATATTTGACACGCATCAGAAGATGGTTACACAAGGCAGTGGCGCATCCAGATATTAAGTCTGGGAGGGGTAGTAGCAATAGTTAAATAAAGTACTACATTTAAATTAAATTTTCGCTAAAAAGTATTATGGAAAACTATGTATATGGCAAAGACTATGGAAAAAATAAACTTGGATTGGACTGGATTTTCTAGTATGATTGGTATTAAATTAATTTCTTTTGCGTCAATTTTATTTTATACCATATTTTCTTATTTATAAATCTTTTACTGAAAGGTGTAATTACCCCCTCTTCCGTATATGCGCCCCTGACACAAGGCGTCTTCTTTCATGAGCTTTTCTGTGACTGAAAAGCCCGATCTTCTGTATGTGCCTATCCGTTCCGCTTCTAAATAATCTGTAGAAAGGAAAAACCAAGTTCTCAGGTTTTTCAACCAGGAGATTCTGCGCCTTCCAGGTGCTTTTTTGCCTAAGACCTTTCCCTGGAGTATTAACTGAAGTAGACCATATCACTTGTGGTTCCTCATTATGTGTCTAATTTCCGTTGTTTTTTTTCCACAATAAGGGGCCGTCCTCTGCCGGAAACACTGCGACCTATGAGGTCTATTGTGTTTAATTTCCGTTGTTTGATAATGTCCACTATTTCGTGCTCCTTTTGAAGCATTTCCAAAACGGTCTTGTTGGCTACGTGGTCTACCCGATACGATAAAAGCCCGATACGTGATGTCATCTCTCTTCCCCAGTCTGGACATTCAAAAATCTCATTACTTTGTCGCCTCTTTACTTTTTGGTTGTCGTTAACTGAGTTTACAATAATTATTCTTCTCCATTGAAGATGATCGCCACGATTCTGCATGCTTACCCCTTTTAAGTTTTCGTGGCAAATATCCTTGTACCTTTTGAGTTGTCCACCTTTCCTCTTGCCGTCTGTAAGCTCACCGTAAAGGAGAGATTTCGGTAGGCGATTTTCTTGGATCCTGCATACATGACCAGCCCATTTTAAGGAGGATTCAGTAATCATGACTTCAGCGCTCTCGTAGCTAGCTTTTTCAAGGACCGATACGTTTGAGACATGGTGGTATCATTTGATTTTTAACAGTTGTCTAAGATGTCTCTATTGCAACTTGTTTAATTCGGTCATGTGTCGGCGGTACTGCACCCAGGGCTTCGCTTCCATATAACATGATGGGGACTATTATTGCTCATTACATTGCGTTTTTGTACTCAAGTCATGATGGTAGAAAACTCTGTCTTTTAGTTTCCAGAATGCTCTTGAGGCGCTGCTAATCCTGTGCTGGATTTCAGAGTCGATATTGGCCTTTTCTGAAATCAAACTGCCGCACAGTGCTTCGTCCCATGGATAAAAATCGAAAAAAAAGTTAAAATTTACTAATATCTGAATATGTAATTTTATACTTATAGCAATGTTCAACCATCCTGTATATTATTTTTCATAAACAGCGTTTTTTGTTAGCAAATATTTTCACTAAAAATAAATTTTGCGACCATTATCTTATCAGTGAAAAGAATAACATTCATAAAATAGTTCTGTATATTATGGAGGTAAACGGTAGGTACTTAATTGAAAGCCACTATGTATATTGTTAAACAAGGTATGTACTTTAAATTTATTTCTAAACTAAGTTCGTGATTGTTTAGTTTTTATTTATTTTTTAAGATGATTCTTAAATGGGAATAAAAATTTTACGTTTTCAAACTTCAAAAAGGCATTTAAAAAAAACATATCAAAACATATCGTATTTATTGAATATTTTTGTTGTCATATTCATACACTTTTAATTTTTGTATAGTTCACCTGCGTCTGCTTGCGACGAACTTTATTTTATAATACTTTTCAGATGGAGTAAAATTGATAAACAATGCCGATCTGGTTAATACTTGGCTTCATCATAAGGACAAGAACTCAAAATTATTTGTATTTCAAAAAATGTGTTCTTTATTAGATATTGATGAACCTTCCACATGTGAATGAGACACCACTTGTGCCTGAAAAAGCCCATGTTGGAGCAAAACGTCGCATAAAAAAGTTTCCATCTTTCAATTTATTATAAAACCTCATACCCAAGAAAAGAAAAAAATAATATATGGATATGGTCTATTAAAGAGGTAACTATTAACATCCGAACCCCTCATACCAACAAAAAGAACAGTAACAACGTGAAAAAGTAACATATTAGAAAATGGTGTACAGAAATATCTTATATGTGAGGATACTTCATCTACCTGTGATTTGGATACTATAAATTTGGAAGATTCTGTCAGCAGTGATTCTTCTGAATCAGAGTAGTTACTTTCTATGCATTTTGTTGTCCTAAAGTAAATTTATAGTATTTTAAGTTTTTTTTTAATTAAATATAACATTAATGTTTCTTTTTCATTAAAGAAAAACATTTTTATCTTATATTAGGCTTATATTGTAGGAATCATGTTCTAATGTTATTTCAATTCTTTTTTTATCACAGGGATTTATTTAATACTTACACCGTTTTCATACTATAAATTATTATTTCCTTAGATGGAACACAGCTCCAACATTTTTATTATTTATAAGATTTTTTTTCATAAACGTGGGACTAAGAACATCATCATTTAGTACAATGAGAGTACTCATCATTTGTGTCAAATAAACCTAATTTGAATAAATTGCCTACAATAAAAGTAGTTTTGCATTTTTGTCCTCTAGAGCCATATGTTCGAAGCACTGTGTACCGAGGTAATTGAATTCGGCTACATATTCCAATAGTTCTCCGATTTTAATAGCATTGTTGCGATCTTAACTGACTTTCCAGTCGACAAAAAAAATTAGAAAACCAGAATTAATCAAATAATGACTTAGTTTTACATGAAATCTCACAACTTTTTGTAGTGGAAGAACTGCTTTTCAAGACTTTTTTACATTTTATTTGCTCGTGCGTTTGCAGCGGTCGGTGGATTGGAAGAAGTGGATCCTTTTTTGAATGGCCAGCTAGGTTACCGGATTTGTCTCTGCTGATTTTTTTTATGGGGACATCTCAAAACAAAAGTATTCGCCACGCAACCGGAGACAGTAGAAGTATTACGTGAAAGAATTGTACACGAGTGCGCGGTTAATAACACCCGAAATATTACAACACGTCCGAGAACGCTTTGAGCAGAACCATAGAAGCAGGGGATGCTCAATTGAAACATTTAATCAAGTAATTGTTTCAAAGCAGAGTATCACTTTTTGTGTATTATTTCTTAAGCAAAATCTTTTTGATTTAAACTAAATTTCTTATTTTAGACCCCATTTCGATTCCTGTACAGTTAATCAAATATTAAAGCATCATCAATTTATGAAAATTTTATTTTTCAGCCGGATTCCACCAAATGTGACAAAAATTCCAAAAATGAGACGGGTGGAATTTTAAGGGTCGATGTCACCCCCGCGTGGGGTTTGAATTAGGGGCTTCAAAAATAGTCGCATCTTATTTCCCCTTCGAAAATAAAGTTGACGTGTCTCACCGTTTTGTCCTTTTCACACCAGAAATGTCTTTCCAAAAAATCCTATATGGGTATTTCGCCACTGCACTGCAAGAAAAATATACAATATAACATACGAACATCTTTCAAAACACAAAATACACTTAGATCCATTTTATCACATACTAAACCAATTAATACACAACAATAAACAAAAAATGTAATATACCAACCAAACCAAACCAAACCAAACCATACCATGTGAATGCGATAAATTTTACATCGGTGAAACATCTAGACCCTGAAATGTTAGAAATAAAGAACATAAAGATTATTTAAGAAAGGGAGATTTTCATAAATCTAAGATTTGTTAGCATTCATGGGACACAGGGCACAGAATAAATTTTAATAACGCCAGAATTATAATGAAAGAAGCGATAGCCTCTAAAAGAAAAAGAAAAGAAGCTTTTTTAGTACAATCTAATAAAAATAAATGTATTGCTCATGCATCTGTAGATGTTAGTAATGTATGGCAATCGCTTCTTTGATTTTAAAGAACATAACATAAATAAACATAACATACGTAAAATTTAAAAATAATCATACAGAAAGTTTGGGGCTTTTTGGTTTTACCTTATTAAGTAATTATTATCAGGTAGTAATTGTTAATTTTGAATTTTAACTTGATATAATGTCATTTTAACAAAACGTCAACGGTTTCTTGTAGACGTATCTGTTTTAAAAAAACTAAAGTGTTTTTAATTTTCATAAATTGTTCTCGAATAGTTGAATTTAAATAGTTTTTTTTCTTTATTCTTTGTATTATTTTTTTTTTGCTTCCGAAAACGGAAAGAGATAAACTTTCCGAAACGTTAAGCATTTTTTTCTTGTTAGGCAAATTTGTATAACTGTAAACATGACTTCTGACAAATAGTTTCCGTTTGGGTTTATCGCAGAAGTGTTTACAAAAATAACTATTTTATTTTGTAGATTTTCTTGCAGTGCAGTGGCGAAATACCCATATATGATTTTTTGGAGAGATGAATCCGCCACATAGGTATAGACATTTTTTCAGAAATGTCTTTAAATTGCCTTGTTTCGTTTGAACTGGGACACTCTGTATACATAATACACACTTTAAAGCCTTTTGGTCTTACC